ATCCAGCTTGACAGTGAAGAACTCTAGAAGGCATCTCACACACCTGGCACTTCCTTTGGGATGACTGCTGGGACTCTTGAGTAGCAAGTAATTGATGAGTGGTATTTTTGTCAAAGTGCTGGAGAAAACAAAAGTGAGTTTTCAATCAGATTCTCACAAAGCAACTTACTTACCAGTCAATGATCTTTGATAGTCTTGGGTTCTTCACCTTTGGACATAATTTATTGTTAAAGACTCTATTTGGCTTTGACTTTAGGTAGTGAAAAGAAATCCTAAATTCTCTCTTCAAGGCTAAAAATACACGTAGAGGAAATCATATAATCATTAGATTTCAAATACACCTGAATATCTGCGGCAAATAAGACCGTCGCATTTTTCTAGGACTCAGGGTAGAACTGAAGAGTGTTTTCATACCTCTGTATCCATTAGGATCTGTGGGCACAGAATTTTCAAATTTACTCACTTGAAGATGGTTTATTCTATATGCATCTGCCTCCCACATTGCAATTAGAGTTATGTGAAAAGTAAAGAGAAAATAAAGAGGATGTTATCATTCTTTCCTGAAAGATGTGTGTTCATTACATCATCTGACTTCAGTTTTCATATGCATAAAGTGATTTCTTGGGGAAGGGAAATGTGTTCATTAGGGTGGACTTGAGAAGTACTTAATGTACAAAAAAGATAAATATAAAAGTTATACACAGTCTTTTGAATAGGGAATGGGGGGACTCAGAAAATAGTACTTGGAACTGATCTAGCCCAAGGAAATAATAAATGCTTGCTCCATCTTACCTGGACTTGCCTCTTTCATGAGCCAGGTAAGACGTAATCAGACACTTTCTTTGGAAAGCGTTTATTTGGTTCATGTCCTGGCCAAATCATGCTGAGTATCTTCTGTGTCAAAGAGACTCCATTGCTGTACTAAAAATAAACGTGCTTTCAGACTTAACTTTTGGTGTGGACATTTGTTGCTTTTGCTTGCTTGCTGTTCCCTCCACTTCTTTCAGTAGCAAGACTTAGAGTTTTCTTTGAGGAATTATACCCTCCCCAACTCTTAGTCCTTAGTTTAGATGGGGCTGGTTATCCCTCTTTTTCCCACTTAGTTCCAGGATCAGAGGATTACTGTCAGAGCTAAACAACAAACCTGTCCTCCTTTGCCCAGGGATTGGCTTGGGAATGGGCACATGACTCAGTTTGGGCCAATGAGGATTAGGCCCAGTATTTTTTACTGGAGCTGTGGGGAAAAGAAATTCTCTTTTCACTGGTTTGATGTTGTAAGGGTCATCTTAACGCTACAGGGGGCCACCACAAGATAAAAGGCTATGTGAGTATGAAGTCAACATGAAGAAAATTTCTACAGAGGAAAATCTACATAGAAAGATGACAAGAGGTACCTCCCGACAATACTGAGTGGACGCCCAGATCTAGCCTTGCCTGAAGCTACCTTACCCCTGGATGTTCTAGATATGACAGTCAATAAGTTTTCTTCAGTTTTAAGCCAGTTTGACGTATGTCTTTGTCAATCATTACAGAAAGAGTCCTAACATGTGTTCAAGGCAATGGGAATTGAGATATATGTTGATAGGTGATGTTAACATAATTCCATTAATAATATTTTGAATGTTTTGAGATAAGGAGGTGAATATAGTCTTTGAGCTACAAAAAGTTAAGCCTTCCCTCCTTACTCCATGTCTGTGGCCCTCTCCCATGAGACTTGTATTTCACTCTTTCCTCTCCTGAGGAAATACCCCCCTCCCAAGGAAATATACTTATTTGAGCAGATGTTTATCAAACAAATGTCCTTCCATCCCTATTTCCCTCCCTTTGGAAGCAGCTGAGATGAGATGAGCAGGCAATACCACGCCGATTTAGAGAATAACATTTAAAGAAAGAGACAGGAAAGTATATCCATTATAAGCTTTTTCTTTTTTCTTTTTTAGAATTGAAGCTTATGACTTTATCTACGCCCACTATATTCATAATTACAATTTAATATCTGCATACAAAAGCTATGTAAAAATCCGTTTTTCCCAAATATACAAATTTTCTTTGTGGATAGTTTAAAACATTTTGATCACAGATTTCAACAGAGTTTTAGGCTGAAAAAAAATTACCAATCTAGCAATATCACTGAACACTGTTTGTAAAACACAGATCTTCTGAGGACCACCAAATTCTTCCTATCCTATAGCATTTTTCTGATTCTCAGGGCATGAAAACATGATGGGGGGAAAAAGTGTTTTCTCTGAAGACAGCATAGAGATCCTGTTTGGCTCTATCATTGAATGAAAATGTGAAGTTAATTGGGAAAACCCAAAGAAAAGTGGGGCAATGTCAGTTCATTCATGCCTTGATATCTTCTGTTTCAACAGTACACGTGTCATTAAATAAAGTGTCTTCCTTTGTCTTACATTGTGCTCCATAATTTACTTGAGTATTATCTGAATCCTGAGAAGGACAGATTTATGTTTGATTGTCTTGTGCATACGGTGGATCAGCTTGAACTGTGCAACAGAAAGCCACAAACAGCGTTTTACCTGCACGATATTGCTCTCGAAGGCAGCATTAATCAATGTGGACACACACTAGAAATGCACACTTTTTGCATTTGCAAACATGTATACAGCACAGTAAAAATTCTGTGATAAGGCCAAACCTTTTTCCCCCCTAGTCCTTTGTGTGTGTGTGTGTGTGTGTGTGTTTAATGTATTTTTTTTTTTTTAAAGATTAAAGTAAAANTTTGTGTGTGTGTGTGTGTGTGTGTGTGTGTGTGTTTAATGTATTTTTTTTTTTTTAAAGATTAAAGTAAAACGTTTCAATTGTAAAAAATACACACCGGGCAAATCCTTACCTGGATAATAAATATCTACATCACAGTACAATAAAATTTCTTCTCTATAAAATTTAAATATGGATTATAGTCTATCACTATCAAAAGAGACACTATGCTACTATTTCCATATTATTCAAATAACAGGAAAAATTATGAGCTTATTTTAGAACCTGATGCCGTAGCCTTTGGAAAGGGCAGAGAGATTCAAATGTCCGTAAGACTCTCCTTTTCGAAGAGGAACTGTGGCTTGGTTATTTACTTAAACTCAGTTTATGAAAAAGGTTTAGCCTTACAAATGCTGGCTACATTTCAAAAACCATAAGACTGATTTCATAATTTATGACTCATGCAGCAAAAGGTCAATATGACACAAATAGGTTAGAGTTCCACAGAGTAAGAATGTATCACCGAGGATGACATGCCTGGAGGGAGCTCAGCGGTTCTGAGGAGGCTGAGTTTGGGGGGGCTTCGTGTTGAGGAGGGGCCGAGGCCTGCACACCTGTACTCGGAAGAGCTGCAAGGATGGCGTTGCTGGAGCAGAGCCAAGCCTGGTGCTCCACCCCGATGACAGCGTTGCAGGCCGGAGAGGTGTCACCCGGACACAGGTGAGGGAGACGTCACTGGGCTGAGGCGTCAACACAGCAAAGCGCATCATTGAGGACAGAGGCTCGTTTGACTAGAAAAAGCTCTGAGGTGGCACATGGTGTATTGAGCAGAATTGTAAAGAGGAAAAGATCTTACTTTTCTATTTCTGAAAATACTGCACATCTAAGTTGAAGAGCAAGTACACTTGAAGGTAACCAACACACACACACACACACACACACACACACACACACACACACCACTCATCCACAAAAGTTAAGTGATTTATAAGTAAGCATCCCAGTAGTACAGTGTGGTCTCCTCTACTGGGATGTCTCCCCACTGTAAGGGCTTTCGATCAGGTCCACACTTGATTCAACAGTCAGGACAATATAAAAAAATGTTTTACAAAAATCCAGAGCAAATCCCTCCTGATTGAGTTTAATGAGATGGAGTCTTGAGATGCACTAAGTTCCTCAATCAGTTACAGAAGAAACGAGTCACCCTGACCACTAGGGTCACGACCCTTTGAGTTCTCATAGCCTTTCCTTTCAACCTGAAGTACATTAAGGCTTGTCTTCCTTAGCATAGACAAGATTTATAGATCAGCAGTTTGCCTGTTTAAGGCAATCATTTAAGAAGCTGAGGCTCAAACGTAAATTTACTTGGGGCTGGCTGGATTACTGTAGATATACCGGGCCGATTGGCCAATGCCCAATCATGGGTAATACACAAAGCATTCCAATTTCGCTTTAGATGAGGCTCTGTACTTACATTTGAGTCTGGGTGTGTCTAGTGGACAGGGGAATCTCTGTCAAACAAGTTGAGGAGACTTTCCTGGGAAGGCTTGATGCCCAAGGAGCCTGTGAACCGTCCAGTCCCCGCCTGCTGGCCTCCCTCTCATTGCCTTCTCAGGGAAACTTGCCCCACAGCGCACAGCTTCTCAGAATTACCCTGGAGCTAGAAGGTGACTAAGGGGTTACGTTTCAAAGAGTCAACAGAGGTTGCTGAGATGTTAACAAAGCAAAGATTTAAGGAGACTGGCTAGAGGCTGCCTAGGGAGAACAAAACCAAAAAACTCTCTGTAGATAGAGTCAAAGCAGGTGGTCTGCCCATGAACTTCATGTTTATACTTTCAGTCTCTCCACCTACTTCTTTCGTGTGGTTAGCAAGTTCCACAGCGATGCTCTTGCTTCCTTTCCCCTGAAGCCAGTATAATTGCATTAGTGCATAAAACATACACGTTTCTTCTCAGATCATTTCCAGTCCCACTTGGGATTTTCAATGCTGATTCTCTTCTGTTTCCAAGGCCGCCCTGCCTTTCTCTACATAGTTGATAAGTAGTGTGTCAAATTCTTATTTTGAACCAACACCAAATATACTTTCCACACCTGTTAAAAGGGCCATCATTTTTGTCTAACAAAGGAAGAAATTTGAACACGAAGGAAACCATCAAAAGAACCAAATTTTTCTTCTCTGAAATTAGTAGAGTATTAAGGATGGGAAGGAGTTTAGAGTTTATGACTTATCCACAAGGACCCAAGGTGAGAGAGCCAAGATCCAAATCTAACAAGGTCACAAATCTACACCAGTTGACAGAGCACAAACTAGAACTCAGGCACCCTGACTTCCCGATCAGTTAAAAAAAAAATCTGACTTGGTTTTCAAAGTGACTTTCATTACTTTGTGTTTAGGTAAATCTCACTGATATGGCTTAGTGTCCCCAGTATTTCCAGGATAAGGCAGCACAAGGCAGGCTAAGGACTAGTGTTTATCTACCAAGCCCGTGAACAGTGAAATACATTCAGTTGCATGGGTACATTCTTTGCCCATTTTCTGATGCTGAAGTGATGAGGCATCACCATTTGTTTCCTGGATACGAGCTACTCCAATGTTTGCGTTGGGTAGGGAAGGTGAGTGTACATGGTCATGGACATGGCCTGCAGGCGTTTTCTGTTGAATATCTCTCAGGGCAATGTTATAAGAGGGACAGAGAGGGTCAGAGGCTGGACCAGTCTTTGTTTAGTGATAGTCAAGCCACAGAGTCACAGGGAAAGGAGACTAGGAAACATTGGTGAGTAGACCAAAGAGCTTGAGGATCCAGGACCGGAAGGAAGCATCCTCAAACCATCAGTACATGAAGGGGGCTCTCAGATCACTGCGTTTCCTTCAACTTGGAATGTAACTGCACTAGTCTTGCCTCAGAATTCCTCCACAAGACTCAGATTTCAGCTCATGACCTCTCTTTGATCAGCAGATGTAATCCATAGGGAAATCTGTTGTCAGCTCAGCAAAGATGCAATCAGGATAAATAACTTTAGGAGTTTGGGAGATGATGGATCAGATGTCATTGGAAAATGACAACACTCTGTGAATAGGCTTAATTTCTATGGAAATGTTCTCTGAGTTGTAACTGTAAAAAGCCTCCCTACTATGAGGTAACACTATATGAATTTTTGGAAACTGTTGAGTCACTGACATTGATAAAGATTTCTAATTTCTTTGGGCTCAATGAAGAAAATGGTTTTCCTTGTTGGTCTCAATCAGTCAAATACTTGCATGTTGTTGAGTCACACCTTGTGTAACTTGAATTAAATCATAAGATTATAAAAATTCCAGTGGAAAAACAGCTGATTTGGGGGACCAAATATTTCTGTACATTCCAAGTTAGGCTGCTGGGAGAGGAGGAAGAGTGCTGAAGACAGCATGCTCTAGGATTAAAAAAAACTGTTCACACCTTTCCTTAGAGAGCTGAAAGCCACATCTAACCAAAGCTGGTCTGTGTCCTGCCAACTTGAGCCCTGCAAAAATCCGATTGGATCAAGACGACCACATGATCTTGGTTTTAAGGCTTCTTTAGTCTTCTGCTGTGCCATTCTGCTTGCCAGAGTCTCTGACCAGGGACAGATGGGAGCTGGTGATGGCTTGGTGCTGGTGAATTAATGATGGTCCCCACCCCACCTCCACAGCTGTAAAAACGTCAAAGCATTCACATCAAAAGGACTGGAGAAAAAAAAATGCAATAGTTACAAGTACCCGCATTCAAGGGGCAATTTCATCCATGTCTACGCCAAGGACTATCTCCCTTTACCCCTAAACAATCCCTCCCAACACGAAGAAACAAAGGAACAAATGAAAAAAGATCTAGGCAATGGAATGAAATGACACCCAGTAGTGCTGTAGGAATCATGAGAATGAAGTCAGCCGTCTAATCCTCGAACACTTCCAAGAAGAGCGGGGGAAAGAGTTCCGTGGGGCATTCCACCTTCATGTGCAGGAAGCGGCTGGCATGACAGGCTCCAATCATCCGCAGGTCCGTCACCTTCATCAGGAGTTTTGGCCAAAAGTGCGTCACGTGGTGTTTTCGGTAATTGATATAGTGTTCAAAGGCCAGCAGGAAACTATCCTGGTATTTTTCTATTCTCTCAACGCAGGCGAGTCCTGGGCGATCTGAGGGGACGCAAGAAGATGGATGTAACTCAGAGGGTGAGGAGGAGATGGCCTGTCTTGCCCGATTCAAGCCTTTTCATGTGAAAGTGGGCAGATCTGGGGACTTTCCAACTCCTAGGAGTGAGCACAGGTGCCACGTGAACTCTAGGGCATTGGGCACCAAGACACCAGGGCAGTGGGGCAGAGCTGATCTGAAGAGGACCCATGCCAGGCAGGCCGAATGGGGAGGAACCCTTCAGTTAGGTGTTGGATAGAGTTTCGAGTCACATTCACATTTTCCCCCATTTCAACATATTCCCTTTATCTACCTTGCTCACATTATTTACTTAATCTGTTAAGTTGACTCACTAAAGAGGAAACGTCATATTATTGAGTAAATAAAAATCCATTTACTGGGGGCGATAAATGGTGATGGAAGGGGACTTGNATTGACTGACTAAAGAGGAAACGTCATATTATTGAATAAATAAAAATCCATTTACTGGGGGCGATAAATGGTGATGGAAGGGGACTTGACTTGGGGTGGTGAATGCACAATACAATATACAGATGATGTGTTACAGAATTGTACATCTGAAACCTATATTATTTTATTAACCAATGCACCCCAATAAATTCAATTAAAAATCCATTGTCATAAATAGAAGATAACCACAAAAATAAATGCACGGCAAAAACCTTTATTAGCCCAGCCGGGCGTGGCTCAGCGGTTGAGTTTTGGCCTAGGATCCAGGCGATCGGGGTTCGATTCCCGGTCAGGGCACATGCCCGGGTTGCGGGCTCGATCCCCAGTCAGGGGCGCGCAGGAGGCAGCCAATCAATGACTCTCATCATTGATGTTTCTCTCTCTCTCTCTCTCTCCCCCTCTCCTTTCCTCTCTCTGAAATCAATAAAGATATATTTAAAAAAACAAAAAACCTTTATTACATTTTAGCTAAAGTTTCTTGCCAAAAACTGTCCTTGAGATCTGCTCTCTCTTTTTTAAAAAGGGAGCTTAGCCAGGCCAGAGTGGCTCAGTTGGTTGAGTGCCATCCCGTGCACTGAAAGGTTGCCAGTTCCACTCCTGGTCAGGGCGTGTACCTAGGTTGCAGGTTCGATCCCTGGGCAGGTTGAGTATGGGAGGCAACTGATCAATGTCTCTCACATTGATGTTTCTCTCTCTCTCTCTGTCTCTCTGTCTCTCTCTTTCTCTCTCAGCCCGTCCCCCCTCGGGGGGGGGGGAGGATTACAAAAAAAAGGGGAGGTTGGCAGGTGTTAGAGAGGCGTTAAAGACAAACTAGCATCCAACCGAATCCCTCTCTGTGCTGTATTTAGGAGATATAACCAGAAATAAAACTGTAAGAGAAACAGCTATCTCACTGTGATTCCCAGTTATTTAAAACTGTCTTTGTACCACTAAAATCTCACATCTCACCTAAAAATTACCTTGAATCTCCCTCTCCCTTCTCCAGGAATATAATTCCATTTACATAGTTCAATTTCTTTCTTTCTTTTAAAAAAATATATCTTCATTGATTTCAGAGAGAGGGAGGGTGAGGGAGAGAGAGAGGTAGAAACAGCAATGATGAGAGAGTTGTCATGGATCGGCTGCCTCCTGCACGAGCCCACAACCCGGGCATGTGCCCTGACCAGGAATCGNTGAGGGAGAGAGAGAGGTAGAAACAGCAATGATGAGAGAGTCATCATGGATCGGCTGCCTCTTGCACGAGCCCACAACCCGGGCATGTGCCCCAACCAGGAATCGAACCTCGATCTCCTAGGATCCTAGGTTGATGCTCAACCCCTGAGCCACGACGCTCAGCCTGGCCAATTTCTTTATTTTAAAGGACACTGAAGTCCAGAGAAGTTGGGGGTTCACTCAAGGTCACATAAGGAGTTCTTAGAAAAGTTACAAATTTCTACTGAAGAACTGAGGGCCCTAGTCCCCTGCTGGCTGTTGACTGGAGACTGCCCTCAGCTCTGAGAGGCCACCCACTTAAGTTCAAATTCATAGACAAATTTTAGCCTTCAGTCATGGTTTCCTCACCCAGAACTTAACCCAGGCAAGCTAGTGTCCATTGAAGGTGGACCATGTCATAGAGTCTTGTAAATGGCTCCTTTGGTTTTCCCCACTATGCTGGGAGGCTGCAAAAAGCATAGACATCTGGCGCCCTCCTTTAGTTTCCAGTCTGTTGGGAAACCCCCAATTGCTCCCTGGAGAGTGAGTTATGATTCGGAAGCTAACGAGGGATTAAAATATCACAGGATGATTTGAATTACCAAAAAAACTTTTGACACCCAGTAATGAGCCTGAGTACACTCACCTGAAGACATCAGCAGGACAGCCTGCAGGAGAGCTACTTCAGTGTCATCCAGGTTGAAAGAAGACAGCGACATGCCCAGGTCAAAGATGGCATCTGACACCACCCCAAGACCCCCATTTTTCAGCTGGCCCCGTGTCACTGCCATCTCCCCATTCAGGGTTAAAGTCTCACTTTCTGGGTCATAGCGCACAGCAGCGCGAAGGGACATGATCTCCATGCAGCAGCCTTTGAGGAGGATTATCTGGTCTTCACATGGCAGCTGGAAAGAACCGGCCCAAATCAGCAAAGAACCAGGGGACAAAGGTCAGTCAGGAGCAACGCGTGGCATCATAACAGCTTCCTACGATGTATACCAGTCCCGAACNACGTGGCATCATAACGGCTTCCTACGATGTATACCAGTCCCGAACTCTTTGAGGATACACTCTTCGTGGCTTTTCCCTTCCTACTTGGCTCCAGACTTTAAACAATCATTTTTTTTGCTACTCCAAATTGGTTGTAATCTTCACCGACTTTAATCTCATAGTTTGCATTTCTTTTGTGAAAGATAGAGATCTACAACTGGTGTTACACTCACGCGTGAAACTGCTAATAGCCCCTAACTCTGGAGTTTGTATTATAACCCAACTAGCTGCTTGAGAGCTGGGTTTATGTTAAATTTACCAACACCTTTGCCTTACAGCTTCAATAATCAACAGATGACAACTGACAACTGTGCTTCTCTTTGTTTTCTGAAGTCCCTTACAGATGCCCATTACCCATGGGGCCCAGAGATGCCAAAGCTTTGCCCAATGTCGCCCAGTGAGTTAGGGGCAGAGGTGAGACCAGAATTCTGACTTCTGACTCCTAGGGTTTATACGCTCAGTACTTATGGCACCGGAATTACTCTACACTGTATCTTTTTGCCAATGTGGCGATCTCTTTTTCAGCTAATTTGGTTGCTTTATTAATCAGGATTTGTGATCATGTGATAACATTAATACCAAACTTTACAAAAACATAATTAAAAAAAATCAGAGTTGTATTTTCTGAATGGGGAGAATGTTTAATTAAATGCCATTATCTAAATAGTTTGAAAGGCTATTAGCTACTGGGTGTTTTTTTATTATTTTTATGAACTGGGCATCGAGCCAAGATTTATGTGCATCACCTTATCCAATTTTCACAGCAGAGCAGTGAGGGACGTATCCTGCTTCCAATTTTATTTACAAATGTGGAAATGCAGGCACTGAGAGGTGGAGGAACAGGCTGGGGGGGTGGTCACATGAAAGTTCTGTGAGCGAGGCTAGGATTTGAGCAGCTATAGCTGTTAGAGACCAAGGCTAAAAGGAGAAGAGACACACACTCTTTGAAGTACTCTGGATGGGACTAGGTTTCTATAAACAATGGAAATGCAAAATTACACATAATTTCTATCTCTTCATTAAGCACGTACAAATTCTTTTTGGGAAATACTCTGGGCAACACCCTAAGTTCTATTTAGGTTATTATGTAAAACTAAAAGTAATACTACTAAATTACACTTAAAATACTGGGTATTTCATAGTTTTTACTAACTCAACCTACTCACTTTACCATATAATTTCATATTGCTTAGCTTTACACATATTTATTTGAAAAAGACTAAAATTGGCTCCAAAATGTCAGCAGTTTATCTCTTGGGGGTGTTACCATGAACCTTTACCTTTACTATGCTGTATAAATCTCCAATGAATATGGATTATTTTTGTAAACAGATGTTAATTTAAAAAAAAAGATGGTCAGAGGCATGAAATGCTCCACACCAAATACAGATGTAAGTCAGACTCCTCCAGGACTCATGGGCCCCACTACAGTGAAGCCGGGTAAGAGGGAGGCACACTCTCTCTCAGCTGGGTCTGGGCCTCAGACGCCTGTGTCCTGAAGCCACTGCTCTGTCCTTCTGGGTATGGCTTCTGTGGAGGCTCAGAAACAGGCAATGATAAATGTCTCCATCAGTGTCCGAGGTCTGTCAGACTCCACCTGGGTTCCCATGATTATAAACTCAAGAACACAAATGGTCTAGAAGCCAAGGTGGGACAGAGTCATTCCAGGTGAGGAAACTTGGCTTCTTTCTAGGTGGGACTAGATTCATGTATCACTGGGTGGCTTGGTTGAGAGGCTCACCACAGTACGTGGCCCTCTCTATCTGGTGTCCTTCTGGGTCCCCTTGGACATGTGAAGAGCAATAGACTGGCCCCTGATGGGGTTTTTCAAAGGAAAAAATTATCCAGAAGACATAAGCAACCTCACATGATTCAAAAAAGAGGGTAGAGGCAGGACGGTAATGTAATGAATGAAATAATAATAGTATTAACAGCTAAAATTTATGGAATACTTATGACCCAAGCACTATCCAAGCTCTAACTATCCCATTGCAACCTCTAAGAGGTAGATCCTATTATGATTCCCATTAAAGGTGAGATAACCAAGGTCTGAAGACAGTTAATATCTAGGATTCTTGCCCATACAGCTGAGTGCCCAGCCCATGCTCTCAGCTACCACATGGCAGAACTGCTAATGTTAGAAATGAGTATCCCACAGGGCAAGTCTTTGGCCTCTGGTGGGTGAGCTCCTCACAGTGCCCTGAAGATGTGCCAAGAAAGGGTGACCTTATAAGGAAAGAGGGAGGGTTTAAGGGGATATTAAGATCTTCGCTCCATGACTAAGACTCAAACCGTGGTCCCATGTATGGAGAAGTTAATCACTTCGACCTCAATGTTCCACATCTGTAAATGAAGTTAATTAAAGCTACCCTGCAGATCTGTTATAAAGATTAGTTTTAACGTGGGCAAACTTGAGCATGTAACTAGGACATTGTAGGTACTGAATAAATGCAAGTATTCCTGTCACCTTTCCCCATGGCTGAAGTTGGGTGGATGGCTAGGACCCTCATCGACCTAATGTGAACAAGCTAATGAATGGTGACTGAGGGCAGGGGGAGGGGACCACAAAAGTGCATTTTCATTTTGTACTGACATTGCTTTTGTAGGACTGTCGCTACTAGTTGATATTCAATTATAAATAATACTCAGCATTCCTGGAACTAGATATGAAAAACAATGCTGAAGAAAAAAATCATTTCCTCACCTCACAAAACATAGGCAACTTTTTGGCAAAATCCACCACTCTGGTAATTGCTGGTGTGATGATTTTTGTAAAATGGCTGAAGGCTTCCAAGTCAACCTTTCCACCTTCTGGGGCGTTTACTATTGGTGCTTGTCCAATATCTTCTGGCTAACGAGGAGAGACAAGATAGGGTTAAATGACGAAGTTGAAGGCATCTTTATTTGTCCTCATTTGGATGTGGAAGGAAAATCTCTTCTGGACTGCCGGCCTGTGCAGTGCCCAGTTTTCACACAGTTTATTAACAAACTAGAGTTTTCCATGTATGTCTCTGAGCAAAGGTAATGTCTTGGCCATTGCTGTAATAGGCCCCCAGTGATACTGTTCACAGGACTGTTGCTGCAGAGAGAGAGAGAGGGAGGGAGAGAGAAACGAGGAATTTGGGTTCTACCTCGGAATGCACATAGGGAAAGGGTGTCACTTACACCAGGTGACATAAATTCTAGGGCATCTTCAGAGCCTGCACATTCTGATGAGTGCGCGAGGCGGGCTCAGGGTGGGGAGTGAGGGAGAGGGCCCCCTGGAGGGGGAGTCCCGGCAGACAGCAGCCTGTGGATTCACTCTTGCTTCTGATCCAGCCGTTGGGGTTCAACATCCTGTCTGCCGATAGGCTCCAGTTGGAGGAGGTCGCTGTGGGTTGAGGGGACGGTCTAGGCTGTCTATATGAACTGAGCTGTGTAAACCTGGCAAACCTTCCGGCAGGGTGGGGATTTCACTAGTATTCAGTGTCCCAAGGGCACTGCTCTGCTGTCTACTTGCCTAAGAACAACCCAGGGTCTCGCTGCTCAAAGGGTCGAGCAGCAGCGTGGGTGTCAGCTGGGGACTTCTTAGAAATGCAGAGTCTTAGCTCCCTCCTCAGACCTGGTCATGCAGAATTAGCATCGTAGCAGGCCCCCAGGTGGCTGTGCTGCCCTTAGGCTCCCAATGCCCACTGCAGCTGTCTAGCTCCCTAGCTTGGAATTCAGTGACTGCCATGGTGTGGCCCCCCACGCATCTCCTGCTGTCACCAGTGCTTCCTGCAGGAACGGGCCTCGCCATTGCCCTTTCTTGTCGCTGTGATAATAACTACCATTTATCGGTGGCCTACCAGCGAGCCGGGCCCTTAGGCTCTCGCACAATTCCTATTGACTGAGGAGCAAAGACAGGCTCAGGGGGGGCTAGAACCATCCTTGAGGCCGGGACTCCACACAGTTATCTGCCAGGAGCCTCAGATCTCCCCACCCTTTGAGATTTGAGTGGACTGGAGAAAATGGGAAAATTATGTGATGGAAGTGCTTCTGGAAATAGTTGTACAGAGTGGCTTTAGAGTGATGAAAACCTGCATGGCTTTTGCAAAAGTGCCTATTTGCCAATGACTCTTATTTCTCAGCACAAATGTGGATTTGAAACCCAGGTCAAAGCACCAGTCTCTATTTCTGACTTGAGTCCTGGTCTTAGGGTAAAAAATGATGAAGCGGCTCCTTTTGGGAGAAAGTTACTTTCCCATTCCAGATAAAGGGATACTTCTAGCTTTTAGGACATATTTTAATCCCTTATGATGTATTACTATACTATTATTAACATAATGCCCTACTCAAATTCTATTTCAGAACAAGATGGGCCATCACCACATAAAAATAAATGAAATAATATTCATAGCAATGTTGCAAGCAAAAAAAAAAGGGGTGTGTGTCTCAGCTACATAGGAGACACAAATCCTAATATGTAGAAGCCTAATCAGGACATGGATACCACTTAGCAAAGCTGTCTTTAATGAAGGATTCCTAATGTCCTTGCAGGAATAATTCACCAACCAAAAGAGTGAAATTTTCATTCTGAGCATAAATGCTCAATCAAGGTCATCCTTCTGCAAGGTGTATTTGTAAATATGTATTTGTAACCTGGCTGAGATACAGGGCTTAACTGTACTGTCTCTGAGGATGGGCTGGTGGAACTGTATGTTCTGTTTAATAAATATTTATTGAGTTCTCTGTTCTGGTTATCTATTGCTGCGTAACAAATTACCCCAAAACTTAGTGGCTTAAAAACAACACATTTGTACTCTCTCTCAGAGTTCTGGGGATTGATTATCTCAGTTGGATGGCTCTCACTTGGGCTCCCTCATATAGTTGTCATCATATGGAACCAGAAGCTGGTGTCATCTGAAGGCTTCTTCACGAGGTCTCTTCACATGGCTAGCTTGGGCTTCCTCACAGCATGGTGGTCTCAGGGCAGTTATCTTCCTTCAGGGAGACCAGATGGCTTCCCCCTCCAAGATAACCAAATGGAAACTACAAGGCTTCTAGTGACTCAGCCCGAGTAGTCACTCTGCCCAAGTTCACTGTTTAAAGGAATCATAGACCAAATTCAAAGGGAGAGAGAAATAGACTCTACCTCTCTATGAGAGAGAATGGGCTGTGTATACACGGAGGAAAGAATCTAATGGCAGCCAGCTTGGAGAAGAGCTACCACAAATTTCAACCACATGTGTGACAGACCCTGGGACAATGCTAAATGGAACATGATCCCTTCCCTAAGGAGATGTAAGGGTGATCCCAGGCACAGAAGGGGATTGGCTGATAGAAATGGAGTTCACTGTAGAGACAGATGGGACAGTGGAAGCATTCCAATCCCTCCCAGCACCCCCCTCAGAAAAACATGGCCTGAAGAGTGGTTATTTGTGTTTGGATCAAGAGGGGCAATTTCTTGAGTAGATCAAGCATCTGCAAAAGATACAGTCCATGCCAGCTCCACAGAGGGAACGCGAAATTGGTGGGTAACACAGCTGCTCTGTAAATGTTACCCTCCTGAAGAAAACTCTTGTGCCTTGATAACCTCATGGCCCTGACAAAAAAAATAATGCAAATCATTCTTGCCACCAAATCATTCTTTGGTTCTTTCAATAGATGATCAGACTGATGAAGACTATTAAGAGCCTTTGGATTAAAGGTGCAGACCTCACTGGTTTTAATGACTAGAAATTGTGTTATCTTTGCTGAAGAGACCGTGAGGCATGAAGGGGTCTGATTATATTTTACCTTATAGAACTGGCTTCTGAGCTTTCAGATGCAGCTCAAATATTACCTCCTCAGAGAGATCCTTCTGATCAACCTGTTTAAAGAAGTGAAGTCTTTCCCACTTCCGACTCATGATCACTCTGTCCCATCACAATGTTTACTTCCTTCACTGCACTTACCACTACCTGCATTTACCTTGCTCCTTTAACCCTTACTGTCTGTCTCCAGAGTGGTGCTGAGAAGCAAGATCAAGGCACTAAGAGGCTGCCCCTCCAGAGACATGTCTTTTGAAGGCTCTTTGGGTTTGTGCAGGTGGCCAAGTTGCATAGTGTAGTGGTTTAGAGCACGGATCCTCAACTTACTAGTTGAGAGAGCTCCGGTAAGTTTCCTTAACTTCTCTGACTTGGTTCCTTCCTCTGTAAAATGGAGATATTAACCACATCTATCTACAGGGTTGGGGTAGGGAGTTAATGTATAGAAAGCACTTAAAATAGTACCTGCCATTGGTAAGGGCCATGGAGCATGTTTGCTAACATTATTGTTGGTAGAAGCCATCAACAAAGTGTGTTAGAACCTGCTCATTACAACAGTGAAAGTGATTGTTTGGAGGCAGGTGGATTAGGGGTAAGCTTCTCCCCCCCTGCCAAATTTCCTTTCAGGTTGTTACACTGTTTTTATCACACACACACACCCTAATCCCATTGCAATGGCAATGTTGAGGTACAAGGACAGTTATACCACTGCACCTTCTTGTTTGGGTGGAAATGTACTCTAATGTACCCTGGAGATACAAATAAACCCACAGAATGTCTGATGCCGGCTCAGTGAGATACTCATAAAGGATTCGTGTCATAAGCCATGAGCAGGGTCAGTCTCTGTGATGGTCAAACACCAGCTGGTGGTGGGATGGGTGGCCCACCTGGTGAGGTGGTGGAGGGCCTGGACTTGGAACCAGAAAACCTGAGTTGGCTCATGGGCCTGGCTTAGCCACTTTTTAGCAGCATTAGCCACTTAAGGCCTTGGGCTTGGTTTGAATATCTGTAAAATGGGGACAGTAATTCCAGCCTCAAAGCATTGTGAAGTCCAAGGGAGAAATGAATGGGAAGGACTTTCACAATGGCTAGTTTTTATAAAAACATCAAACATCAATATTACAAGGATCTAGAAAGGCCCATTTTCTCTACATGCTCCCTCTCTGCCCCCATCCCTACTGCGTCTTCCCATTGTCTTCCTGGACTTGAGATAATTTATTTTAAGCTAAACATTTTGACTTCTACTGACATAGAAATGTATTTGAGATATGGGACACTTTGTTCTAGGGGTAAAGAAAATATTTTGGAGTGGGTTTAGTGGACTAAGTATGCATGTAAATGGGCATCTGAGGGGAGAAATGAGTATAAAAGGGAAAGCCGGCAGGTAAATAATTTTTCTAATGAATCCATACCTGGCCTCACTAATAGAATTTAGTGATCTGTAAACAGTAGCAATAGGAGGGACCTTTGTTCTCAGAGAGACCTCGATTTCAATCTTGGCTCTGCCATCACCTGACTTCTCAGAGCTGCAGTGTCCTTATCAATAAGATGGGCTGGTCACCTCGCACCCCAGGGCCGTGGGGACTAAGTGAGCTGAGGTAGCTGAGCTGGGAGCCTCACCAGGAATTTCCGCTTCTGCTTCCAGTGGCTGCCTTGGGCATTGGTGGCCACGTGGGCTTCGGTGACGGTCTTGATGAGCTCCCACTCCTCGTCGGTGGGCTCCGGCTTGTGCCCGATGGATTTCTGCAGCTCCTCCCGCCGTCTCTTCTCCCGGTTCTCCTCAATCAGCTTCCGCTTTGCCAGCCGCTTGCTGTCATCCAGCACCACTGGGAGAGGGCGAGAGGGAGACAAGGCACAGCTACTCCCAGGCACATGGCCCACTGACGGCCCAGGGCCGCTGGGACCCAGGTGGCTCGGTGGGGCCCTCGGGGTGGGTCACACTGGGGCGTTTCCTCCCTTGGCAGCAAACTGCCATTGACTAGCCATTGTCCACCATGAGCCCAGGTGCCAAGCTCCCAGTGCCTAGCCAGCTTTTCCAATCAAAGCCCTGGTGGGTGGACACCGGGCATCCCAATTCCACAGAAGGTGGCCCTAAGAACGAAGAGAGGTCCAATCTATCCTACCCACACGTTCCCAGATGACTCTGTCTAGCCAATCATCTGAATTCACTCTTCTGGTTTCTGTTACTCCTCTGCTTCCTCCAAACGGCTCTCAGTAAGAACTTCCTTGCTAAGAGAACTTGGGACGTTCAAGAGAAGTTCTGAGCAGTGATGGGACACTGACGATCCCTTCCTCCATCTCTCCACTAGCTCCCGTAAGGAATAACTGGAATGTGGGGGGCTGCTCTTGGGTTTCACAGGTGCTCACTTTGCATTACTCTCTACCTGGTCAACCCTTATTGATGGCAAAGGAGCCCAGGCTTTGTGATTTAGAAAAATCCAGGTTTGAATCCTGACACTACCACATTCTAGCTGTGTGACCTCTGGCAAGTTACTTAGTCTCTCTGAGCTTACATTTCTTCCTGTATAAAATGGGATCAATAATACCCACTTCACAGGATAGCTAATGTGACAATGTACTAAAAGTGCTCAGTAAATGTAGCCATGACGTTATCATTTACGCAGAAGGGAAATAAGAAGGGCAGGTAACAAGAAACCTAAACTTCTGTGGTTAATTTCCCAAACCAAACCATTTTGCCAGACTCTGAGTAACTGTCAGTGGAATGGAAAGGCCAAGGTTTTACACTACAGAGTCGTAGTCTTTTAGGACTAAAAGGGACCGTGGATGTCATCTAGTCCAATGCTCTCTGTTCACAGAGGAGGACATTGGTCCAGAGAGATCATGACTTGCCTAAAGTCACACAGCAAGTTCATGGCAGAGCCAAGGCAAGACCCCAGGACTCCTGACTCTAGTCCTACAACATCATTGTCCTAGGGCCATTTCTTGATGAAGGTGTGACCCGGTAGGGAAAGAAAAGCAGCAACATAGCAGGAGGAAGAAAGCCAAAGGTGCTCAGTGAGTCGGCAAACAGAATGATCACCTTGATTTGATTAGATCATCAAGGTCAGGTGAGCACTGACCCGTGTGGGAAACCGGAATGAGCCCTGTTTGGTTACTGCAGTTCACTCATTGACGTGAGAAGAGGGAGGGAGCTTAATCATAACCCCATTTACCAAAAGCACCCACCATGAGGGGGATGGTTGCCCCTGACGTGCACGATCTAATTTAATCCTGAAAACAACCTGCGAAGTAGGTGATCGTTTCACAGAAGGGAAACCAGAGACAAACAACTCTGATGGTCACACAGCTAGTGAGTGGCAGATCTGGGACTCCAACAGTTTTTCAGTTTTCTAAAGCCTGAGCTCTTAAAATAATACCTCACCAGCAAATACGGTGCACTCAGAATGAATCCCCACCCAGCCTACATTCACACTGACCTTTTAAACCTCATAAACATTCATGTCTTTAAGTTCTCAATAAAACAATGAAATGGATACTTAATAAGAGTGACACATCTAAGTATTCGGTTCTAGGTTAGTCATTTCCACACATCTTTATCAGGCACATTGTTCATGGCTAAAAGCCTTTCAAAGATAAAGACAAAGAACACACTCAGCTGGAGGTGGGATTAACCTGAGATTTCCAGCCTAACACCCAAACACAACCCTCCCCCTTTTCAAGACTCCCCATTCTGTCTTCTTTAATGGGCAAACCAGGACATTCCACAGATATTTTTGTTCTAGCCAGAGAACCTTGTTAAACACAGGGAAAAAAATTCCTTGTGCATTCCTTTTCTCTTTTTCTTCTTTTAAAACTAAAGGTTAGAATCCTTCATTGGTGTGCACAAAGCTTATGCCAGGAGAGATCATTAACCCCGATGCCTGGCAAAAGACAGGCCACAGGTTAAGAATGACATGGTTCTTATTTTATTAGTAGATTAATTAAAGTGGCTGGCGTAAATCCCCTCCACAGTGTGGGGAGAAGAGACCCGAATGGCTGCTAATCTCGCCACCATATGCTGCGGTGCTTTGAAAACTGGGTAGGAAGACTTCAAGTTGGAATGTTTTTAAGGCTAAAAATATAGCAACCAACCAACAGCAGGGTGACTCATGCAGTAGCACTCAGCTTCACATTCTTCAGAAATTTCTGATCATGATGTTTTCTGCCAGTGCCCTGTCTCCAAAAATGGCCACAAACTAAATTCCTGTCTCTGCTTTTGAAAAAAGAGTAGGACTCACCCATGAGGCTCTTGCCACCTGAACGTTGTGTGTAAAATTAGACCTGACCAAGGTGAATGGACAAGACCTCTCATTTTTAATCTCCGTTGCAGACCGAGTATTGCTAACAGTCTTACAAGCATGATACGGGTAATTTAACTGCTTTCTCTCATCCATCAGCTGGATACCTTCAGAATTAGGAGCTGATAAAGGAGGGGTAAGGTGGAAACCACCCAGCAATGACTGTGGGAATGCTGGGTGCCTTCCTCTGTCCACACGGGTTCCTGTTTGCTTTTCTGCCTGGCTGATCTCCTTGAACCAAACCTTTCCCCAATCAACACCCCTTGAATATAAAGCAAAGGAAGAACATTACTTACAATCTGTTGCCATGCCAACATAGATGCATTTTTTAAAGCGACATTCCTGGCACTGGTTTCGTGTAACTTTGTCTATGACACATTTCCCTTCATATTTACAGGAATAGGATGGATGGAGATTTTTCTGAATGGTTCTTCTAAAGAAACCCTACATGAAAAAGAAAGATCCAAGACAACAGTTTCATATTTTCTAGAAATACGTGACTCTGGAATCTTGCGTCCACATAGCTGTGATGGATTGTTTTGGATCTTACCCGTGTATGGGCCTGTAGATCTACTTATTCAAATACAGGGCAATCGGATCGAAGTGAATCTAAAGAATTCTAAACCTGAGCTGAAGAAGATGTCACAGGACTACAGAGTTAACATCTTTTTGGCATTTATTCAAGGAAAAGAGGCTAATGGAAAAACCTAGTGTTCGCTTTTATTTTTCTAAATGTTGAGTAATATAAATAAATGATATTATTTAATTTCATAGAGAGCCATAATTATGCTGCTCAGTTAAGCTATGAAGAGATTTGCCGTACTTTATACTGGATAATAAAAGAGCTGGATACTTGCAATACATTGCTGTCATAATTTAATCATTTAGAATTTAAATGGCTATAACTGCTTGTAGAGATTTAGTTTAATTCTTATTTTTGACCTTTGAGATGGCCAGCCAGCTCAGATCATCTTTGAAACAACAGTACTTGGGGAGCAGAACATGTCAGGTTCCCTACCAAATATGTCCCATAGCTCATTGCGTTGGGGTTTTCCCCTGCATCACACTCCTTTATTCACTATCTGTAGACATGCACCCGGCCTTCAATGCTTCTTCCTTTCTTTCGGCATGGGAGGGCGCCACTGCTAAGCTTTCTGAGGATACCATTTAGTTCCAGGCTTAGGTGGCTTATGTAACACTCTCAAAGGTATGTTCTACTAGAACCTGATATTTAAGTCTTGGCAAATATACTTCCATATTGCAGGATTTGACAATGGCAGAAGCACTTATTGTGAGGGGCACGTTGCAAATTGCTGCACACAGGTCTTCTGTCTCTTCTACAACCTCATGAAGTAGGTATTCGACATCTCCATTGGGGTTAAAACACTAAGCCTCAGACAAGATAAATCACTTGTGCAAATCACGTGGTAAGTACATGCTGGACCTTGGCCTGGAACCCTGGAGTTGGAGTCCAAATCTTATTTATTTAATTACCTATATGATATGATTATATGAATCCAATTTTACTGTATTATTTAAATGTTTTAGATGAATAGATTATAACAGTCCCC